TTGTTTATCTAGCACTCTTCTTTTCAGTGATAAGAAGACCAAGGGCCTGATTATTTAAGGAGTTTGCCCCTAGCTATCTCATGTAATAGGCAGAAGTAGAAAAGTCATAGAGATTCCTGACTGGGCTAAATCAGTTGATTTGGTTCTGAGCAAATAATTTAGAAACAACTTGATTACTTTATTCAGTTATTCTGCACAATAAAAGAGCCAAACTTGTTCTTAATATACTTTCTCCTAGTAAAGTTTCTTTCCGTGGTACTTAAAAACTGGGGGTGAAAACTGGACAGATTTTTGATGAACATTGGTAACATTGGTAACTTTGGCTTATTTCCCCTCTCCTTCATTTACTATTTGGGAGGTAAATAGACACTTGAAATTATCATTGGTCACTATGACAAAGTGACTGAGTTCCAGCTTTTTCCTTTTCAAACTCCATGTTCTCAATCAAGTATTTAACCTCCCCAGACCTGCTATCATTAGAATCACAAGTAGATAATATAAATGAGTTCTTTTTGTAAATGTTGGGCCCTATACAATCTGATGGGTTTTCACTTTTAGTATTATCATTGTTTTTGTTACTACTGACTGTTGCATTTAAAAGTTGCTATTAATTTATTGAATGCTCTTTTATGTTTATAGATGTCTTTATTAAAAGCTCACAATTACTTTTTTTCTTCCTCAGGGTAATTCAAAACACCTACAGCTTCTTGCTTGCCTGATGATTACTTTTCTTTCCCAAGCTAAGCCTCATGAGAGATTTATCCAAATGCTTAACCCTTTTGAGTTTTATGCTTGTCCATAATTTAATTGTGTGATTTTATTTTTGAAATGTGACAATATGGATTTTTTTTTCAGTGAATGGTTTTGTAAACTAGAAAGCATTTTCAAGATAGTAATAAGATGTACTTTTATTCCTTTCTTTTAGTTGTTTTTTTAAAGGATTATTTTATTTATTTTTTTAAAATGAGGACATGAATGTGATACCTCATTGTTTTTAAAGAGAGAGAGAGAGAATTTTAATATTTATTTTTTAGTTTTCGGTGGACACAACATCTTTGTATGTGGTGCTGAGGATCGAACTCGGGCCGCGTGCATGCCAAGCAAGCACGCTACCACTTGAGCCACATCCCCAGACCCTAAAGGATGATTTTAAATGTTAGCTCTGCTCTTAAAAAAAATGTTTTCTGTTAACTTCTCAATAGTCTTATAAGCATCTATCCTTAATGATTTTCTTGGGGATGTAATGAGATTTTAATCTAACCATGAATTTACTTTTTTCTTAGAAACTGTTTCACTCACTGGTTCATCTCCTTTCCATATTCCTGCAGTTTGTAATCAAGTGCTATATGTCTACTGGGTCATCTTTACACATTCTCTATAATTTTTTAAATAAAGGAAATGAACTAGAGATATGTTTTTTGATATTACCAAGTTGTTTGACTCCTTTGTTTTTAATTATATTTTTATGTAATTATTATTTAGTAGTTGCTCAATAAGTACTATATTTGAGAAAAGGGGGGCAAGTGTTTGTTATTTGATGTATTTATTCTTCTCCATGTCCAAAGGAGGTCTGAGGTCAAGCCCTTTTGTCACATTTGCCTTGGACCTTTGTAATATCTCTCTATTCTTACTATCCACTTTTTCAGATTTTTTTCCACATTACCACCTTCGGGATATTCTTCCTAAATTATTAAAGCATATATATCATCCCTCTTCTCTAAAGCATTGCCTTTGTAATAAAATACAAACCCTTTAACCTGCTCTAACCTACCTCCAGAATCCAATTTCTCACTTAACCCTCATGCTTTGTATTCTAACCAAACTAACCTCCTCATCCTCACCACATTTTCTAGCCTTGCCTTCCCTAGGCCTTAATTCCTAGTCTTCCTTATTTATGGGTTCCTAATGCCTGCTGTTGTCTCTGCTCTTTCTCTCCAGCTATGGAAATCCTACTTTATCTTTCAAAGCCTAGCTCTCATTAGGTTCTTTGAGGTATATTTGGGAGGCAGCCTAGGTAGTAGAAATAGATGGGATTTTAGGGTCTCTTTTCCATTTTTGCATAACAAACTGACTCAAACCTTAGTAGTTTAAAACAACCATTTTTTCTCATAATTCTGCAGGTTGAGTAAACTGTTCCTCTGCTGGTTTCTCCTGGGTATATTTTTGTGGCCTGGGTAAAACAGCTAGAGGTTTAGCTGGGCTCTGATGACTATACTTCTCTCCATGTTGTTTTTCATCCTCTGGGAGGCTGTATTAGGTTTCTTAACATGTAGTCTCAGTGCAGCATTCCAAGAAGGCAAGTCCCAATGCAAAACACTTACCAAGCCTGTTTGACCCATGCCTGCTGATGTCCCCTTGGCCAGACAAATCATATTTATCAAACTTAGAGTCAATCAAAGAGGAGACTACATATGGCATGGAAACCCTAAGAGATGGTTTATTATTGGTAAGCTGTCTGCCCCTGGCTGCAGTGATTCATATTCTTTCCATGGGCATAATGTGCTGCCTCCTAAGATCCCTAAGACTCACCTATTTCATGGCATCAAGTTCAAAGTCCATTATCTCATCATTTGCACTAGGTCTAGATGTGGATGTGGCTCCCTGGATACAACTCCTCTTAACTCAGGAATCTAGAAACTAAAAGAACAAGTAGTCCACCCCACCACTGCCACCTCATATCCAGTATACAATATTGAGGCAAAAACAAATTAAAAACCAATAGTCACAATAGTCACTTCATTTTTTAATATTGATTTTTTAGTTATAGGTGGGCAGAATATCTTTATTTTATTTTTATGTGGTTCTGAGTCTCAAACCCAGTACGTTACACATACTAGGCAAGCGCTCTACCTCTGAGCCACAACCCAGACCCCACTTCTGTTTTTTAAAAAGGAGTAATGAGGGTTGGAGATATAGTTCAGTTGGTAGAGTGCTTGCCTTGCATACACAGGCCCTGGGTTCAATCCCCAGCATCATTTAAAAAAAAAAAAAAAGGAGTAATGAGAGGTACACAGTAATCATTGGTCCAGAGCAATGCTGAAATTCAGCTGGGCAGTGAGCAAGGAATGCTTCATGATTAGGGCCCAGTCCTACTCCCTAGAATTTGTTTCCTAATCCACCTATTTATGGCTCTTCACTCTGTTTTCTGAGCTATCTTCCCTTTTTGGTAAGAACTGGCTCCTATCTATAGCTGACTAGCTATCAACCTGCTTTTTGTCCAAAAAGCTGGAGATCCAGAAACTGCTTTTCCCCCTCATCTTTTAACTGTTACTTTTAACCCAAACTCATAACTTCTTTAAATTTTTTTTTGAGATTCTGATTGGCCATTCTGTACCCTAAAAGCCATATTCATAATTCATTGTTGAGACAGACTCTCCACTTTGAGCTGACAATGAGGCTGCAGTGGAACAGAACCCTTAAAATTCATAGATGCTCTTTTGTCTGAGAGTTCTCCCAGTCACCACTTTTAGTTTTTTTGGGTCTTTACAAAGGGTCTTATGGCCATGCCATAAGGTACTCCGTGTACAAAATGGTTTTCCCACTTGTTTTCTACCTTATAGCACGGTATGTCCCTTCTCAGTCCTCTAGGAGTAATTTCTTCAATGTCTTTTCAGCCCATACAAAGGTTTGCCATTTTTTTACCCTTCACTTCTAACACTCAAAGCCATTGATATGTAGTTTAAGTTTTGATTACAGCAACACCTCACTATTAGATATACCAGTTTCTGTGTTGCATATCTATTGTTGCATAGCAAACCATTCTATATTTTAGTGATTTAAAACAACCATTTTTATTTCTTACCATTCTATTAAGTTGACAGGGTGGTTCTTCTATCTAGGGTATGTGATTCCTGTGACTGCCTTAGATAAACCTAAGCTTGTCAGTTACGTGAACATTCATTAGGCTTTGCTTGCATCATGTTTGTTGAGTCCTAGTGACCAAGCAAGTACATGGCCAAGCCCAGGGTTAATGTGGTAAAGACTGCACAGGACCATGGACCAAGAGATATAGTTCACATGGAGCCATTTGTAATGGTTAAAGTCCAACAGATTTCCAGTTTACATTACTTTGTATCCTTGGGAAGTCATTTCACTTGTGTGCAACAATTTTTTTATGCCATAAAGGGGTAAATAATATCTATAATAGGATTGTTATGATATTTTAATTTTAAGTAACTACTTATTTATTTATTTTTATACTGGGGATCGAACCCAAAGCTTCATGCATGCTAGGCAAGAGCTCTACCACTGAACCAATCCCCACCCTCTAATAACTACTTGTTTTTTGTGCAGTTATGAGAGTAATACTTTTGTCATTGTGCAAAATATACAAACTGTAGAAAATTATTTAAAAGAAAGCAAACATCTCCTGAAATTCCATCTAATACAACACTATACCAGTAGCTCCTCGGGGCCTTTTCTGTCTTATTTGCCATTGTAAGGGTGTGTGTGTGTGTGTGTGTGTGTGTGTGTGTGTGTGTGTGTGTGTATGTGTATGTGTATGTACACCTTTCTCATCCTGAAAGGTAAAGTCCCTGAAGGAGGAGAACTCAACTCGGTAAATTTCATAACTTTGTATTTAGGATGATAATGCACATTAAATACTTAGCCTAATATCTGGCATAGGTATATTCCCACTTAAATTGTTGTTCTGTTGATACTACCAAGGATTCTTAGAAATCTTAAAGTTATGAGAATGAGAAAAGTATCCTGAGAGCAAAATATCTAAATGGAACTGTGGAGGGTGGCTTCTCTCTGGGGATCCCAGTGAATTGTGAGATAGAGTGTAGGAGCATTATAGAGAAAGACGTTGTCAAGATCTACTTATAGATCCCAAAGTACTCAATGGCAAGGCCTCTATTATAAATTTTTAATTAAAAGGGAATACCCCCTTCAAAGAATAATCTAGTAAATGTTTTATTTTTGAAAACTTGACGCCTGACATTAGTAATATAAATTATATTCTTGATACTCAAACAGATTTTATCTTCATGTTTTAGTCAAAGAAGTTTGGCAGAGATCACAGAACTTATCCATACTGCTCTCCTTGTACATCGTGGGATAGTAAATTTAAATGAATTGCAGTCTTCTGATGGACCACTGAAAGACATGCAATTCGGAAATAAAATAGCTATCCTAAGTGGAGACTTCCTTCTAGCAAATGCCTGCAATGGACTAGCCCTGCTACAGAACACCAAGGTAAAAATTGTAAGAGTTTGCTTATACCTGGATGGCCTTCAGGTGGTTCTTGGTTGGGAGATGGAGCCATAGAGGTCTCTGTGCTCTGTGCCCAACTCCCCCATGTAGATGTTCAGTAAAACGTTGTTGAAGATGATGATGGCGGGGTCAACACCAGGGAAAACTGGTAAATGCTATAAGTCAGTTTTGAAAGTAATTTTTATTTTTTTGTGATTACAGGTAAAATTCATTAATTATTATTCCAAATAAAGAATATATTAATAAGTTAAATTTATTTTTAACAAATTTTAAATTATTAAAATTAAATTATTAAAAATTATTCTAAATAAAGAATATATAAATAAATATTATCTATAATCCCAGTATCTAGTTAATATTTTCATGTATTTCTTTGTAGTCATTTGTTGGCTATTCATTTATACTTTTATATATAGGGATCATTTTTATAATATACAAGAATGTGTTTGTATATAAGGTTTTTTAATCCTGTTATTGCTTTGCACCTCATATTATAATGTGGGTATTTTCCCATTCTGTTAACATTTAAAAAAAAATTTTTTTTCATACATTTTAAATAATTGCATAATATTCTTTCATTTAGATATTATATCATTTATTTAACAAATTCTTTAGTGTTCAACATTTAGTCTGCTTCCTATTTATCACAAATTGACCTGCAGTAAATATCTTTTCACATCAATTTTCTCATTCCTGATTTTCCATTATAGATTATTTCTTTTTTAATATTTATTTTTTAGTTGTAGTTGGACACAATACCTTTATTTCATTTATTTTTATGTGGTGCTAAGGATCGAACCCAGGGCCTCCCATGTGCTAGGCAAGCACTGTACTACTGAGCCACAACCCTAGCCCCTCCAGATTATTTCTTTAAGATGAATTGAAAGGGTTTAAACATTTTCAGTATTCTTGATACATATTGTCACACTGCTTTCTGTAAAGGAGAAACATTCTTTATATATCAGGTTTATGTTTGACAACAAGAGAACATTGGCCTATGTATGTGTGGGAGGGGGTTCTTTATTATTTCTTTCATGTAAAAACATCCAGAAGTTGGTATAGTGATTCTGCAAAGTCAAGGACCCAGGCTCCTTCTATCTTACTGTTCTGCCTTCCTTATATTACCACTTCATGGTCTACGACAGTTGCCATCATGCCTCACTCCAGTCACTAGGAAGGAAAGAGGAAGAAAGACAAAAATGGACAGTTCTCCTTTCCTTGAAGGTCACCTGAGTGTACATCTGGTTTGCTAAGAACAGTCTCAATGTAGGACAGCTTTCCCCAAATCCCATCTTGTTTGGCTTTTGTTCTGAATTTTCCATTTTTTAACAAGGATTTATTATCTAATTATTACATTAGAATAAGACGCAACGGGTTTGATAGATTCCACATTGTACTTCTAGCTTCTGCTTAATTTTTGTCTAATATAAACTAATTGTACTGTGAAACCCTTACACAGTGGACAGAGTTCTCATTTTAAGGTGTTATTAAATCTGAAAGACAACCAGCAGTAAGTAACTCATCTCTTTTTCACAGCCCTTTTAGACACAGTGTAATTAACACCTCCTCATTACAGGGCAATTGCTGATCCCACAAAATACACTTAAATACAAATGTCTAGACTGAGATAACTCCTTTCTGTATTAAGTGATGAGAGAAGTTATTTGCCACTGCTGCCCTAGTTAGCTACTTGGTGTTATCAACCAATTGTACCATGATCCATGCATGGACTACAAGTCACAAAGCTGCCAGGTAGTCAGGCGTGGTGGCGCATGCCTATAATCCCAGTGGCTCAGGAGGCTGAGACAGGAGGATCATGAATTCAAAGCCAGCCTCAGCAAAAGCGAGGTGCTAAGCAACTCAGTGAGACTCTGTCTCTACATAAAATACAAAATAGGGCTGGGGATGTTCCTCAGTGGTCAAGTGCCCCTGAGTTCAATCCCTGGTACAAAAAAAAAAAAAAAAGCTGCCAGGTACCACTGTGTAAGCTCAGTGGGAAACATAGGTTTGATGTCTATAAAATATATGTGAGAAGTCAGAGCTGGTCACTTGTGTTGTACAGCAAGTAAAAAGTAGGGTAGGCTGAGCATGCTTGCTTGTATAGTGGAAATCTGGTAACTATTTTATGTTTTTTTACAGCACTTTGTTTTTATAAGTCCTTTTAGCAGGAGTGAGCTGAAAAAAACTAAAAATATATGTTTCATTTTTTTTAAAGTACTGCATTTTTTTGTTTTGAGAAATTTGATAAGAAACATGTAACTTGCACAAAATGTTTGTTGACATTTACTATCCACTTTAGAGGCCATAGTGATATCACTAACCACATGAAAATGAGAATCAAATTTGCTGGAGAAGTATCAGAATCTGTGGAAGCTGGTAGTTAATTTAAGATCACTGCCTAAAGATGATGATCTAACACATGCAGCACAGAAGGTATATATACATGCCACTCTAAGAGACATAATTTGTGTAGATAAATAACTACTCTTCTAAGTTAATGTCATTCATTTTCAACTATATGGTTTTATGTGCACATTGGAAAAGGGAAGCATTGGCAGAAGAACTTAGTAAATAGTTAAATAATTTCAGTTTTAGTTCAGTGTTGTCAGGTGCTCCCATTGTTAAATCATTTAAGTTAATTTTAAAAATGATTTGGATTTTTTTTCTTTCTGTCCATTCATGGGATCAAAGTAAAATTTTTATGAGTATAATCTGCCAAAGATAAACCCTTCGTGAGTGACAAAGGCACCGAAAACATTCACTAGAGAAAAGATAGCCTATTCAATAAATGGTGCTGGGAAAATTGAAACTCCACATGTAACAAAATGAAATTAAGCCCTTATCTCTCATCCTGTATGAAACTCAACTCAAAGTGGATCAAAAACTTAGGCACCAGACCAGAGACCCTGTGCCTAATAGAAGAAAAAGTAGGTCCAAATCTTCACCATGTCAGCTTAGGATCTGACTTTCTTAACAAGACTCCTAAAGTGCAAGAAATAAAATTAAGAATCAATAAATGGAGTGGGTTCAAACTAAAACTTTCTTTTCAACAAAGGAAACAATAACATGAAGAGAGAGCCTGCAGAATGGGAGAAAATCTTTACCACACGTTCCTCAGGTACAGCATTAATCTCCAGGTTACTAAAAAATCTTAACACCAAAAAAAAAACCAAATAACCCAATCAATAAATGGGCTAAAGAACTGAACAGATAGATACTTCACAAAAGAAAAAATAACAATCTATCAACAAACATATGAAAAAATATTCAAGATCTTTAGCAATTAGGGAAATGCAAATCAAAACTACTTTAAGATTTCATCTCACCCTAGTCAGAATGGCAAGAATGTTTGTATTATCAAGAATACAAACAACAATAAATGTTGGTGAAGATATGGGGGGAAAAGTACATTCATACATTGCTGGTGGGAATGCAAATTTGTGCAACCATTATGGAAAGAATCCGTATGGAGATTCCTCAGAAAATTTAGAATGGAACTACCATTTGACCCAGGTATACCACTTCTCAGTTTATACCCAAAGGACTTAAAATTAGCATATTACAGTGAAGTAGCCACATCAATGTTAATAGCAGTTCAATTCACAATAGCTAAACTATGGAACCAACCTAGATGCCCTTCAACAGATGAGTGGATAAAAAATGTGAAATATTACTCATCCTTAAAGAAGAATGAAATGATGGCATTTGCTGGTAAATGGATGGAGCTAGAGAATATCATGCTAAGAAAAAAAAAGCCAATCCCAAAAAACCAAAAGCCAAGTGTTTTCTCTGATATACAGATGCTAATTTACAATAAGTGGTAGGGGCTAGGGAAGAATAGAGTTACTTTGGATTAGGCAGATGGAAGTGAAGGAAGGGGAAGGGATATGAGTATAGGAAAAATAGTGGAATTAATTAGACATTATTACCCTGTGTACATATATAACTGTAAAACCAGTGGGATTCTACATCATGTAGAATCAGAAGAATGAGAAATTATGCTCCATTATATATGATGTATCAAAGTGCATTCTTCTGTCATGTATAACTAATTAAAACAAAAATATTTTTTAAAGTTCAGTGTTGATAAAATTATGAGTTTATAATAACAGTACAAGTACAAAATTTGAAGAAGCATAGTATTTGTGGTAAAATCGATGTTCTTACTACATTAAGAAACCTATGGAGTAGCTGGAATTGGTTATGGCATACATATAATTCATAGTTTCATCCAAACATGCATCAACATTCCTCTAATTGAAATAAAATCTATTGCTACATCAAAATTCACAAATATCTCTATTGTTAGAGTTTCTGAACTATAGGATTTGGAAGATAGCTGACCTGGAGTATAAAAATATATCTCACTGGGCTCGGTGGCACAAGCCTATAATCCCAGGAGCTCAGGAGGCTGAGACAGGAGGATTGTGAGTTTGAAACCAGCCTCAGCAACTTAGAGGCACTTAGCAGCTCATCGAAACCCTGTCTCTAATTAAAATATTTAAAAGGGCTGAGGATGTGGCTTATGGTTAAGCAACCCTGGGTTCCATCCTTAGTACAAATAAATAAACAAATAAGTCATTAAATGTGTGGTAGCATTTTGTTCAAAATAAACTGGAAATCTAAAGTATTCAACAAATGGGACAGCAAATAAGGCTTTTAGAGAAAAAAGTTTCCATTGATATTTTTCCCTACACAAGCAAGGAAGGGGCTGAACAAAATGATAACAATTCAAATAACATACAATATTAAAATTTTCATTTCTGTAGTTTTGATAGGAAGTGTCTCACCTTGTAGGAAAAATCTTTTGGTGGTACTCCTGTACAATTTAATAAATTGTACACGTACATGAATAAAATGAAATTGTGAAAGCCTAGATTTTGCAGCTTGGAAATTTGGCAGAACATTCAAAAATATGGAAATAATTTATTCAACAAATTTTGTCTTATAAAAGTATTCATAGCCAGGTTCAGTGGCATAAG